TGACTTCCCTGCCCCTTTTGAGACTTTTTTCAAAAGTTTAGGGACAAATACAACAACTTCTTGGACAAACCTGGTCTAAGTTCTCATCTTGCCCACTGAACTATGTTCATCTATATATAGATCAGTGAATTTGCCATTGTGATGTCATCTAGTGACATTTAGCTACCAGTTTTAGTACGATCACGATTTAAATTGAAAGCAGTTGGCAACACTGGTCCTGTGCTAGCCTCCTGCGCCCCTTTTTGGTGTAGGCCGGGGCTCGCAAACAAGAAGGTCAATCATTGTTTTCGTAGCACTACCCACTCAGTGAGATTGGATAACACTGGGTAAACATACCCATTCCACTTGGAACAGGAACGTTGCGGAAGCCCCATCGTTCCCGAAAGCACTTACACATATGAACAACCGTTTAGGTGCATATAGAAGATTAGAGGTGTCTGCCGGCCTCCATAACAGACAAAGAGTTGAGCTGAAGTCCTGAAGCTTTGTGTCCGGTCTACGTACCATCTCAGGGCTCAGACGGGACAAAGCAAAGCTAGGGCTGGGTCTGCCTCCTCTGGGGGCAGTGCTTGCAGGCGCACCACCTGATCTCTGAAGGGAATAGTGGGAACCTTGGGCACATAGCCGGGCTGGGGCCTCAGGATTACCTGGGAGTCAGCCGGCCCAAACTCTAGGCATGATTCGTTGACCGAAAATGCGTGCAGGTCCCCTACCCTCTTGATGGAGGCAAGTGCAAGCAGGAGCAGAGTTTTCATTGATAGAAACTTCACTGACTGCAAAGGCTCAAATGGGCCCTGCTGTAGTGCTTTGAGCACTAGAGACAGGTCACAAGAGGGTATAGAGGGGGGACGGGGAGGATTTAACCTTCTCGCCCCCTAAGGAACCTGATGACCAGGTCATCCTTCCCTACCGACGTCCCATCCACGGGGTAGTGATTGGCAGCCACATAGACTTTAAGGGTGGAGGGAGACAGTCTTCGATCCAACCCCTGCTGCAAAAAGGACAGCACAACCCTGATCGGGCATCTTCAGGGGTCTTCAGCTGACATACGCCCCAGGAGCCTTTGAAACAGTTTCAGTGGGACTGCCGTCCTGTTCTTGAACATATCCAGGCAGTTCAACACCGACTGAGCACGTTCCTGCGTGAGGCATGCTGTTTGTTTGACCGAATCCAACTCCATAACAAGAAAAGAGATCCCCTGCATCGGGGAGAGTTTGCTCTTTTCCCAGTTGACCCGAAAGCCCGAAACATGAAAGTCTGGTCCTTCAGGTTGATCGCTGCAAACCAATCTCTGGGACGGATGCACCCGAAGATGTGCTTCTGCATGAGCATCTTAAATGGTAGCTTGGGAAGGGCCCGGTTCAAAAAGCGCAGATCTAAGATTGGATGTAACCCACCGCCTTTTTTGGATACAATGAAGTAAGGGCTATAAATCCCCATCTTCATATCGCCTGGAGGGAAAGGCTATATCGCATCCGTCGCCAGTAGGACTGCGATCTCTGCACGCAAGACCTCCCTCTGCCGGCCTCCATAACAGACAAAGAGTTGAGCTGAAGTCCTGAAGCTTTGTGTCCGGTCTACGTACCATCTCAGGGCTCAGACGGGACAAAGCAAAGCTAGGGCTGGGTCTGCCTCCTCTGGGGGCAGTGCTTGCAGGCGCACCACCTGATCTCTGAAGGGAATAGTGGGAACCTTGGGCACATAGCCGGGCTGGGGCCTCAGGATTACCTGGGAGTCAGCCGGCCCAAACTCTAGGCATGATTCGTTGACCGAAAATGCGTGCAGGTCCCCTACCCTCTTGATGGAGGCAAGTGCAAGCAGGAGCAGAGTTTTCATTGATAGAAACTTCACTGACTGCAAAGGCTCAAATGGGCCCTGCTGTAGTGCTTTGAGCACTAGAGACAGGTCACAAGAGGGTATAGAGGGGGGACGGGGAGGATTTAACCTTCTCGCCCCCTAAGGAACCTGATGACCAGGTCATCCTTCCCTACCGACGTCCCATCCACGGGGTAGTGATTGGCAGCCACATAGACTTTAAGGGTGGAGGGAGACAGTCTTCGATCCAACCCCTGCTGCAAAAAGGACAGCACAACCCTGATCGGGCATCTTCAGGGGTCTTCAGCTGACATACGCCCCAGGAGCCTTTGAAACAGTTTCAGTGGGACTGCCGTCCTGTTCTTGAACATATCCAGGCAGTTCAACACCGACTGAGCACGTTCCTGCGTGAGGCATGCTGTTTGTTTGACCGAATCCAACTCCATAACAAGAAAAGAGATCCCCTGCATCGGGGAGAGTTTGCTCTTTTCCCAGTTGACCCGAAAGCCCGAAACATGAAAGTCTGGTCCTTCAGGTTGATCGCTGCAAACCAATCTCTGGGACGGATGCACCCGAAGATGTGCTTCTGCATGAGCATCTTAAATGGTAGCTTGGGAAGGGCCCGGTTCAAAAAGCGCAGATCTAAGATTGGATGTAACCCACCGCCTTTTTTGGATACAATGAAGTAAGGGCTATAAATCCCCATCTTCATATCGCCTGGAGGGAAAGGCTATATCGCATCCGTCGCCAGTAGGACTGCGATCTCTGCACGCAAGACGCCTTCACTAAAGTGAAGTGGATGCCCCTGAACTTGGGAGGACGCCTGGTGAACTGAATCGCAAACCCGAGTCTGATGGTTTAAAGAAGCCAGCGAGACGGACTGGGAGGCGCTAGCCAGGCCCCCAGATACCGAACAAGCGGCACCAACAGGACCACCGATGTACCCGCAGTGGGGCAGCGAAGAGGAACGTAGGGACATGGCCCAGTCATCTCGTAGCCAGTCCAAAGCGGGCTCTGTGTATGTGCCCTGCGACCGGCTACACGGCTTTGCAGGAGGCTGCTGTGTTTGCTGTGCGGAAGCGGGGGCGGCGCCGGGGGCAGGGGGCCGCCCTCAGTGATGAGCAGACTGAGGAGCTGCCATAGGCGGCCGGGTGGAGGCAGCAGCTGCATGCCGGGGCAGGATGTGTTTGATGGCCTCGGTCTGCTTCTTTGCTGCGGAGAACTGCTGGGCGAAAATCTCCACTGCGTCGCCGAAGAGGCCGGTCTGGGACACGGGGGCATTTAAAAACCGAGTCTTGTCGGTCTCCCTCATGTCGGCCAGACACAGCCAGAGATGGCGTTCTTGGACCAGCATAGTGGACATCGCACGGCCCAGAGACCACACAGGGATGCAGCAATCGACAACCCATCGTCGGGGGGAGCGCCGAAGGATACAAGTGGTACCCCACAGGAGGGTCCAGCCTGTTCCCTGGGCAGCTCCACTGGCTGCGAAGTGCTGGTGGAAGGAGGAGCCCTCGCAG